GTGGTGGGGATGAGGGCAATGGGATACGGGGCGATGGGGATGAGGGTCATCATCCTCAGGACTTGGGGAGGTGGGGATTTGGGGTGGTGGGGATGAGGGCGATGGGGACACGGGGCGATGGGGACGAGGTTCATCACCCTCGGGACTTGGGGAGGTGGGGATTTGGGGTGGTGGGGATTTGGGATGATAGAGATGAGGGCAGGGGGTGGATGGAGTTTGGGGTGGTGAGGACATTGCGGTGGAGGAGGATGAGAGTTTGGTGTGGATTTGGGGTGACGAGGACACGGGGTGGTGGGGAGGCAGGGCAGCACAAGAGTGGGATGTGGGAACATTGGGTGACAGCGACACGGGATGCGACGGGGACAGCCGGTGCTGGAGATGTGGGGACAGGCAAAGGTGGGGACGTGGTGTGACAGCCGTGATGCGTCCCCAGGTACCTGTATGGGAAGAACCTGCAGGGGACAGCCTTCGTCCTCTTTGGCGTGATGGTGGATGACGAGAGAAAGACCATCCCCCAGTCCCTGCAGCGCGTCAAGGTGGCCCTGTCCCCTGTCCACGTCCCCTGTCCCCGTCCCCATCCCCGTGTCTGTCCCCCTGGCCCTCTGACCCCGTGCTGCAGGTGACCGATGGGGACGGAGAGGCCGTGCTGCCCATGGCCATGCTGCGGCAGCGCTTTGCCAACCTCCAGGAGCTGGTGGGACACTCGCTCTACGTCACCGTCACCGTCCTCACCGAGTCAGGTGACAGAGGGACAGAGGGACGTGTCCGGCTTCGTGTCACGGTCCTCGATGCACTGGGATGGTTTAGGGATACGTATTGGGGACACAGAGGGTCCTGGGTAGGGCCCAGCAGGGACGTGTGGATCTGGATGGGGGCAACAAGGACAGGGAGGTATGGAGACAAGGACACGTGGGGCTGTGGACTGCAGAAATAAGGAAAGATGGGGATGAAGGTGGTACAGATGGAAGCAGCCAGAGCTGCCTACAGTTGGGCAGGGGGACACTGGGGGACCAGGAGCCTCGTCCTGGCACTGGGTGACATCGCTGTCCCCGTGGCCACCGCAGGCAGCGACATGGTGGAGGCGCAGCGCAGCGGCATCCGCATCGTGACGTCCCCGTACACCATCCACTTCACCCACACCCCCAAGTACTTCAAACCAGGGATGCCCTTCGATCTGACGGTAATGGCACATGGGGACAGGGATGGGGATGGGGACAGGGACGGGGCTGGGGGGCTGGGGGTGACAATCCAGGCCCCTCTGGCACCGGAGTCTTCTGAATGGGGATGGGGAAGGGGGAATCCCATGGGGTTGTCTGCCCCCACGTCATATCCCTGTGTCACCTGGATGGCACCTGGTGTCTGTCCTCACACAGCATCCCTGTGTCACCTCCCCTGTGCCGTGTCCCCGGGCTGAGCCATGTCCCCATGCCATTTTCCTGTGCCACGTCCCCACACCGTGTGTCACAACCCCATTCTGAGCCTGTTGTCCCCATGGTTTGTCCCCGTGCCATGTCCTTGTGTCACATCCGCATTGAATGTCCCCGTACCACGTCCTCACGCGGTGTCCCTTGCCGTGCTGCATCCTCCACAGGTTTATGTCACCAACCCCGATAATTCCCCGGCTCCACGCATCCCCGTCAAGGCCGACGACTTCCAGGGCCTCGTCTCCACCCAGCGAGATGGCAAAGCCAAGCTGGTCCTCAACATGCCAGCCAACAAGAACTCTGTCCCCATCACTGTGAGTGGGGACGGGGACAGGGGACCTGGGTCTGGGATGGAGCAGGGCATCCAGGGTGAGCCGTGATGGCTGGAGTCAGGGATGGCTACAACAATCGAGGGGAGCAAACCCCAAATGACCAGCGCAGAGGGGAACCAGGGTGTCCAAAGTGGGCAGGGTGGCTGAGACAAGCAGGATGGCCAAGGGCAAGAGCAGCAGAGCTAGGGTGGCAGGTTGACCAGGTCACCCGTGGTGGCCAAGACCTCCATGGTGGCTGAGAACCCCACGGTGGTGAAGTTATCTATGGTAGATGAGAGCTTACTGACAGCCAAGATGTCTGTGGTGGCCAAGTCATCCATGGTATCCAAGGCCTTCATGGTGACCAAGTCGTTTATGGTAGTCAAGACCTTCAGAGAGGCAAAAAAATACATGATGACCAAGTCACCCATGATGGTCAAATTATCCATAGCAGCCGATGTCTCCGTAGTGACTGAGACTCTCATAGTGGCCAAGATTTTCATGGCAGCCACAACCTCCGTAGTGACTGAGACCTCCATGGCGACAAAGTCACCGACGGTACCAAGGCCTTCGTGCTGGCCAAGTCATAAATGGCAGCCAAGACCTTCAAAGTGGCCAAGACCTCCATGGTGGCCAAATCATCCATGGAAATCAAGACATTCATGGCAGCCAAGACGTTGATGGCAGCCAAAATTTCCAGGGTGGCCGAGGCTTCCAAGGTGAATGAGTAACTTATGTCAGCCAAGACCTTCATGGTTGCAATGACCTCCATGGTGGCCAAATCATCCATGGCAACCAACACCTCCATGG